ATATATACATTCATTATTTACTGTGAAATGATTAAGACTGTGTAAAGATGAAATAAAACGGACACCTATAATTTGAGGCAGATAAAACCGAACCATAATTATTAACCATAACCATATCCAGGCTACTACTGAACCCTGGCAAGGCTGAGTGGCTTTGGGTGCATGGAGCTTCAAGATACAGATCTTTCTCATCTTTAGTTCTGGATAGGGTGGCCCTAACCTGTTCAAATTGAGTTTGCAATTTAGGGGATCTCCTGTACTTGTGATTCCTGCTTGAAGCTGGCAGTCATGGGTAGGAGAGCTTTTGTACAACTTGGGTTTGTATATCAGCTGCAGCCTTTCCTGGATCAAAGCTCCCTGCGTTCAGTCACTCAAACCCTAATAATCTCTTGTCTGGACTACTGCAACGTGCTGTACATGGGATTATCCCTGAAATGCATTCAGAAGCTTCAGCTAGTGCAGAATGTGGCAGCACAAGCAGTCTTTGGGGCCCCTAGAATGGTCCATGTTACACCGCTGCTTAGCAAGCTACACTGGCTCCTGATTTGCTTCCAAAGTTCAAAGCCTTTAAAGCTCTCTGTGGCATGAGACAATATTTAAATGGCTCAGCACCTTTTCTTTTTAATCTGTTCCTTAATTCTTGAATCTTAGGAAAAGGCATTTTTTAAAAGCAAATACGCTGCTCCTTCCAAGTTAATTTATACAGTACTGGATTTTTTATTTATTTTTACAGAATGGCATACAAATAATTAGCTCTATTCAGTAATAAGTAGGATATGAAGAAGGAATGACTATCCATAATAATTAGCCTTCCTTAATGATCACTCAAGAATATGAGGCCTCACTCAGAGAATAGCCATGATATGATTGCCGAATTGACAGCTAACAATTTCTTCTACTTCATCCTAGATAGTGTTAAAATGAAGTTGCGGGCAGAGAGAATGGCTGCCTCCTTGTATTTGCCTTTCATATTTCTTTGGGCTAAGAATTTCTAGAACTTCAAAGGATTGGATTATATTCCAATTCATGAGTTATGAGTGCAATTTTTTTTCCTTAAAATATCTTTCTGTGTACATTACTACTTAGAATCATAATCACTGTGGAAATATGGGTGCTGGGATTCCTTATTCTGTTGGATGGGTGGGTGGTTTGATATTAAGGAATAGTATTAATGAAATTAACTTGCACCTCTGTTCTGGTTGTCCATTAATTCCTGGCTATATTTAAATCATATATATAATTTAACTCTTTGGGCGTGCTTTTCAAGTCTCTGACAAACCACTGTTATCTGTGCTTTTCAGAAGTAAACTCTAGAGTTCACTGGAAGTTAATCTCAAGTGAATGAGTTAAGAATTGCAGCATAAGGACTAGGCTCAGATTGCTCTAGGGCTAGGCAATTATTTTAATACCTTGTTTGGGGACAATTTTTACATTTTTATTGAATAAATTATACTGTTTCACTCCCTCGAACAAGTTATAGATGTAGACTTGTTTTTTTAGAATAGAATAGAATTCTTTATTGGCCAAGTGTGATTGGACACACAAGGAATTTGTCTTGGTGCATATGCTCTCGGTGTACATAAAAGAAAAGATACATTCGTCAAGAATCATAAGGTACAACACTTAATGATAGTCATAGGGAACAAATAAGCTATCAAAACATATTAGGAAACAGTCAATATGAATCTTAAGGATACCAGCAACAAGGTTACAGTCATATAGTCATAAGTGGGAGGAGATGGGTGATAGGAACGATGAGAATATTAATAGTAATGCAGACTTAGTAACTAGTTTGACAGTGTTAAGGGAATTATTTGTTTAGCAGAGTGATGGCGTTCGGGAAAAAATTGTTTTATAAACATAATTTGAGAGACCTGTGTGAGTATTTAAAACAAACTCTATAAATGCCAGTCTGTGATGAAGGTAAAGTATGATGGAGGAATTACTGAGTCTTATGAAGAAGTCTAGGTTAGGTTCCCCCTCCCCACTTACACACAATTTCCATGCTGTTTTTTAATGACTTGGAAAGGTATTTTTCCTCTAGAGGACAAGAATGATTTATCATTCATAAACTGCCCATAAGTTGGGGAGTTACCACACTCTGACAATTATATGTTTAAATCTGTTAAATCTATCAAGACATATTGAGTAAGGCAAAATTAGTAAAAGCAAAATCTGTAGTTACCACATTCTGAATCTTGCTTTGTGAAACAATAAATTTAAGTTTCCCAACTTTCCAGAAGGTAGCTCTATATAGCTTCTAACTTCCATCCATTCCTTTCATCAGGAGGAAAATTACCAGTTGCTTGGCTGACTAGGTTACCAAATAAAACATAAAACAGAAGACTAATTCTTTTATCTTCTGGTCCAGCCAGTTTATTGCCAGTCAGAGCTTTGAACTTGTCAGTGCTCCAACTTGAGGATAAGATTAATGTGTTGTATATGCACTCAACAGGAGTTGAATTTGACTTGAGGGAGTCTTTACCTTTGCAATATACACTTTATTATTTTGTAGTCAGTTGAAATGAGATGCTCAGTCTTCCAGATATGCTATTTCTAGCCATACGTATGGGTTAGGGAGAAATTTGATATGTTCAAATGAATCTGAAGAAAAGGTTGTAACTATTTCAGAATATTTGGACTCTTCTAAAATGAAAGATATAAGGTGTCACTTTAGTTCTTGCGCACACAAAATTGCTTAATGCAATAATGAGTAACTAGAATTAATTTGCTTAGCTTAATCTTGAGCAGTAGAATCATCTATATGTTGTTGAACATCTGATAAGGAAATCACATGATAAGGCCCATCTATTCCATTGTAAAAAGCCAGGTAAAACACGTTTGGGTGTTTTTGTTGCTTTTTTTGTTAAAACAAACATTGAGACATGTTCAAACATGGCCAATTTTAGATTCTGCTTCTTATGAATTACTTAACTAGAACTGGATATTGTGAATATATTACTCTATTCTTGTACATTCTTCATTGGCTTCTATTTCATTTCTGGATTTTGTTAGGGTGGTTGTATTAATTTATAAAGCCCTTCACTGCTTAGGACTACTATAATATTTGACACTGTGTTCTTCTCTGCAATCTAACATAATCTTCACCTTCTCGGTGGAGGGGCGGGGGGTTACCTATGCTGAGATGAGGCAAGCAGCTATCAGAGAATGGACTTTTCCTGTAGCATCTGCCAGCCTCTGAAATGCCCTTTACTGACAAAAGCTTCCCCCCCCCCCCTAAGCATTTAAATCATTGTGTTGATTTTTAACACACTGTTGTCTAGAAATATTCATTTTGGCTGTTATTTTTTATTGTTTTATTGTCTTGTACTGTATATTCATACTGTTTCAATGTTTTATGTGGTTTAGTTTGTTGTATGTTGCCATGGAAAATTGCTTTTTTTTTTTAAAAAAAGTAAATATTATAGAGCCTTTGGGCTTTAGTTTTAAGAGCTTTAGAGCACTTTAAAAATAATATTTGATTATGATGTGAAAATAAATATTAGCATTGGGCAAATTGTGTTGATCAAGTTCTTTATATAAGTAGTATATAATGTAAGCATGAGTTTTCATAGTCTAAAAGTATTTGATATATATTAATATTCTAATTTTTCTTATCTTTTATTTGGCATTAGAAACTTGTTTAATGCATTAGTATATTCAAAATATAAACAACATAACACAGAACTCAAAAAATGTTGCACGCATTGCTTCTGAAACATTGAATAGTTATTAAATAATATCTTATTTATCTCAATATATTAATAGAGTGGCTATAGCTTGTTTCATAGCTTGTTAAACAATTTGTTTCCAACCCAGATGCTTTCTGTAGTTACTATCATCAACATGGATTGCCAGGATTTCAAAATAACTTATGTGTGTCTTTAAGAGGCAATACAGGTAATCCTCGAGTTACAAATGTAATGGAGCCTACCAATTATATTCGTAACCTGAGGATTCATTGGTGTGAATCACATGAAATGAATGTGATCATTCCATGCTTTTGTTCACACATTCGCTAACCGAATGCTCAGGTCATTAAGTGCAAATGAGGTATCTCAGGGTGGGGAAGGAACCCTGAGTGATGGAACAGGCCACCTGCTTCAGACCACCCAAGGCCTCCCCCGACCCACTGAGATACTTTATGCTCCCTCCCCTGGGATCCCCACAATTGCTCCCCCCATCCTGCCTCACCGGGTCACTTACCTTGTGAAGATCTAGCGAGCTGTCTCCTCTCCAGCCTCTCTGCTGCGGTTTCTTTGCCTGCTTGCAGTCTCAGCGCGAAAAGCGTTTGCAAACCAATGAGATTTTGGGGCAGCGAAATCGCCTCCCATTGGCTTGCAAACACTTTTTGTGCCAAGACTGGAAGCTTCTGGGGGGGCTATGATATCGTGCTACTGATCTTGCATGATCTCGCACTACAGTACTTTGTTCTCTGCGAACTGAGGCCTGTACCAGATTTATGGCAAAAGGCTTTGCAAACGGAGGGAAGGCCTCTCCGTTTGCAAAGCCTTTTGCCATGGATTTCATGCAGGCTTTGGTTTGCAGACAAAAGAGGTCTAAAAACTGTAGTGTGAGATCAGCAGCGTGAGATCTTGTGCTACTGATCTTGCGTGATCTCGCACTACTTTAGGCTTCTGTTCTCTGTGAATGCACCGAAGTAGCAAAGGAACAGACAGCTTGCTAGATTGTCGCAAGGTAAGTGAGTCTCCACAGGCCCAGTGCCTGTGGAGACCCAGCTGGTGGCGGGGAATAAGCAGGGCAAACGTTGCAATGTCTCTGCAGTCGTTCGTATGTGTGAATGACTGCCGTGGTGCTGCAGCATTTGTAACTTCAGGACTGCATTATAAGTACTTAGGGGTTATGTCATAACTTTGAACAGTTGGTAAGTGAACTTTCATAACTGAAGGATTACCTGTATTATGCCACTTTTTAGTTATAGAAAGTGTCTTTATAAATAAATCTTAAAAGTCTTTCTTTCCTCCCCTCTTTTTTTTTAGTCAGTGGCAAAGACTGGACGATTGCTCATCACTCATGAAGCCCCTGTTACTGGAGGTTTTGCATCAGAAATTAGCTCCACGGTGCAGGTAATTCCTGACGTACTAAATTTGTTGAGCTCTTTTCAGAAGAACCTCAATTTGGTTATTGAGTGGGATTTTCACAAGTGAAAAGAATGTGTGTAAAGATACATATTTATGGGGAGGGAAATGATATTTCATCCCCAAGATCTACAGCGTTGCTTCATTTTGATGAAATGAAGATATTCCTGGAAGAAAAAACGTAGAAAGCCAGTATATTAAGAGTAAATACTCCCCATAGATTCAGCCAAGACATGGAAGTAATCTCAGCTACCCAGCTAAAGCAAGCAGGTGCCTGTATCAGGCAGCAGTGATACATAAGTAAACTGGAAGCAGATGAACATTTGAATGACAAGGCTAAAGACATCATTTTATAGTGCGTGGGATAAAGCAGTAAAACCCACATGGGTAGACAAGATAAAGTGATCAATGACGTAGTGTCAGATGATGGGATTCTTTGGTTGAATAGCACTCAACATGCTACTGAGGTAGAGTTGAGGATCTTCCCACAGTATCAATGGCATTTATGATATGACTTGATTAAATATCTTTGGCATATAGCTGCTAATATTGCCATGCTGGAAATGAAAATCCAAGCTGCAAAGTTAGAATCACAGCAGGAACACAGAGTGTAGGAAGCATGAGCACAGGAAAGCTCAGCAGAGTGAAAGATGAAATAAATCAACTACATACAGTATTGATACATCTTCAGTATCAGCAGATTGAATTGTACTGGTGTTAGACACTATCAGAAATTAATATTGTTGACTATTTAGGAGATAAACAATAGATAGTGTTGCTCCCATGGTGAAGAGGAAAATAGTAATATTGGCTTGAATGCAGTCAATGAACAAACATTATCAATGAGACTTTGCGGATGGTTATTGATTGAACACATTGTAACTGATTCAAAAGCAAAAGATGGAAGGAGTATAGTGAAATGCTGCATGGTGAAAATGGCAACATTCAAGATACCTTCTTATCCAAAATATTTCCTTACAAGCATTCTTGTTACTAGAACTTAAAAGTAGATCATGATAGTTATTAGCAAGTTGGAATGCTACAGGAATTGATGGAATATCTATGGAGTAAAGGGAAGCAGCAGAAGAAAAATCAGTCAAGGTTCTAACCAGCAAATCTGTGGCTTGAAAGTGATCAGTTTATATACTAATGCCAAAGAAAGGAGGCTTAACAGAACGTGCAAACTATTGCACAGTACTTTCATATCGCATTGTAGCAAAATACAGGTAGTCCTCGACTTATGATCACAATTGACCCCAAAATTTCTGTTGTTCACTCAGACAATTTGCTAAGTGAATTTTGCCCCATTTTACGACTTTTCTTGCGACAGTTGTGTAAGTGAATCACGGCAGTTGATAAAGTTGGTAACCTGGCTGTGAATCTCGCTTCCCCATTGACTTTGATTGTCAGAAGGTCGCAAAAGGGGATCACATGACCCTGGGACACAACAAAGGTCAGTGCTGTGGTAACTTTGAATGGTCACTTAATGAACTGTTGTAAGTTGAGGACTACTTGTAATGCTTAAGATCATCCAGTGCAAATTACAGTCATACATGGAAAGAGCAATGGCAGATGCTCAAGTTGGTTTTACAAGAGACTGAGTAACACAGTGCTGCTGTATACTGAATAATTGAGAAAGCCAAAGAATAGTTTGTCTTTTGTTCAGTATAGCATGGACTGAAAGTCTTTATCATTTAACTGTAAACTAACTTTTATATCATAATATAAATTATGTATTATTTGTATAAACTTACATGCAAACATCATAGATCTTAAAAGTAAAAATAGAGAAGACTAATAGCTAATCCGGCCCTGACTCTTATAACACTCTGAAGGCAAGCTCTGTTATAGCTGGGATTTTAGGACTAGAAAATATCATTTACCTTGGGTGTCATGAGCTATTGTTTTTAATTTTTAAAAATATCTTGACACACCACCTGCAGTCATTTCTGTGAGATGGGTAGTTATATAAATTAACTAAATAAATAGATAGATATTTGTAAGTGGTTGCTACACAACTTGTATTTGGAAGATGGGGATTAATCTTTCAGTGTCATTCTGTATCCAACAATGTTGGCAAATAGAGAAGTTGGAGAACTTCCTCAAAAAGTGACAGAGAAAAGCTTGGTGTATTGAAATTACCTCTAAATCATCTTGTATTTTGTTTTACTTGTGGCACTGTATTTTTAAAATCTGAACTCTGTGATCTTTCAAAGTTATTTTTGCTACTTTTTTTACTGAATGATTATATCGGTCATGATTGCTTTTCAAGATCACTTCATCCTATAGAAAAAAAATAACACTGTTCTGCTCTAATAATTATGAAACAAAGTTCTTGAGAACTTACTGTGCACTTGGCTTCATAGTGTTTATAAGGTTTAGGTTACAATCCTAAATTTACTACATCTGTTCTTTATAGCATTCTGTGGTAGTGGTAGAAAACCATTGAAAACTGTAGATATGCTGTTCTGTGAAAAATGTCTGGGGGGGGGAGGGGGCTCTACCAAATGCAGTGGCAGAAGTCCTGCAGATTTCCTTTCCCAGGCCACAGTGAGGTTAGGAATCATGTGGTCCAGGAGTTTCTGGGAACCATGATTCTTTACTCCCTGCCTTGGCCCAATAAGGGCCAGGAACAATACCAGCTCTGCAGGGGTGTTTTTTTTCTCCCGCTTACGTCAAATGGTCAAGAGGTAGAATACCAGGAAAAATATCCACTCGTCTTGTTTGTTTCTTGGTATCAAGTTCAAAGTAGTTTTTTTGGAAATCCTTTAGACAAGATGTTTTGATAAAAAAAAAAAAAGCAGAACAGAGTGTTTATAATAATCCTTAAAAGATAAGTGCTTTGCTGAAAAAAATGCAAAATGGAGTGGCCATTCGTGTTCAAATCTCTAAAGACAGCTGAGAGCAGTTCCGAAAGTTGCTATGGAAGTCTGGATAAAGAGGTCCCTGGAATGTATGGCTATATATTATGAAGCATCTTTTTTAAAAAATTAAAAGATTTACAAAGTCTTAAATCATAAGAGTTTAGGAAATTGTGTTTCCTGTTTCAAATTTTATTTGTTTCATCTTATAGTTTCTCCTCTCTCCTGTAGATAAATCATTGTCACTTTTCATACAGTATATAAAAATAAGATATATTTGATGTGCAATTTATGAAGTGTATTCACAGAGGAATGTTGCTTTAGGCAGGCAGAAGAATTGATCTTATTAATTTCTAACATATATTTATTTACTTGACTGTGAAAGTAAGGTTTCAGTGTTAGACATGTTGTGTCATGAATATAAAAGAAAAACAGTTATCAAACCATTTTTCTGGATGAAATGTGTAATAAGAAAGCCAGAAAGTCTCTGAAATTGAAGCTGTTCTTTCTTTTTCTTTTCTTTTTTTGCACATGGAATTAATAAAACTTATTTCAAGTCCAGTTAAAATAAATTACACATTTTCATATCATTATGTTGTCCAGAGTGTGAGGAAGAAATAAGGCATCCTTATTTTGAAGGATGAAACTAAATTACAATTCTTGTAGTTTACCATATGGATATTGTTTTGCATTTTATATACATGTTTGTGCTGAATATCACCATATAATCAATGTGATTCTTGTCTGACCAAAGACACTGTCCATTTTATCTTTATTTCAAAATGACTAACTACTCCTAGGTTAAATGATATAAGCATTGAGGTAAATTTATAGTCTTTTCTGTTTTATCTTTTCTGTCAATATAATTAATGGAAGAAGTTTTTGTTCAAGGTTGTAGTTGTTTGAAACGAGGAGAATTATGTTTTATTTATCTTCTAATTGTTTTGTTCTTAAGTAATATGAAAAAGAGAAGCAATTTTGTCTGATACTTTGGTGTCGTGTTTTAGTTTTGAGCGCACTGTGCATGAATTTAAGCAGTGGGATCTCATTATATTTGTGAAATTGCATGTGACTTAACATTTTCTTATTGGCTGAGACATTTTCTCTTGCCTTGTCACAATTCTTTCCATATTGATTAGATGGTTCATACTTATCATGCTTCTACAACCTATAACAAAGGCTGAAATTACCATGCTGTAAAAAAAGTTAACTTGGGTACAGATATGATGCATGCTCGCATGTATCTTGTATGCTTGTGCAGTAGAGCAAGAAATATTAGCTAATAAATACTCATGCGTTCACACAACATTCACAGGTGCTAGATGTCAGCCACAGTTCTTGATTTCTTTTTATGTGGAGTTCTCTTTTATGTGGAGAAAATTAAAGCCTGAAGCAGTTGAATGCAGATAGGACTGACATATTGATTGTTAATTATACAGTTTGAATGACACAGAGATTAAAGCATGAAATTTGAGATGCACTAGTTTCCAAATCTTCATGTTTCATTATAGATAAGCAGCCAGTATTAAAGTGCTCAGTAATAATAAGTTACATTTATTATGTGCATGCAAGAATCTAGGCTTATGGGCTAAACTTGTAGATAATGATAAGATTCTTTTCCCAAATTATCATTTAAGTTCTTGGAAAACCAGTCAGACAAGCAGAGAAAGACTAGAAGTTAATTTGATTAAGGATGGGTGTGAGCTCAGCTTTGAGTCTACATTGTAATGGTAGTGAAGGAAAATCACTCTTTTCCCTTATTGTGTTGGGTTTTTGGCTGTTTGCCTTGTTTGGGTAACCCCCTCCTAATTAAAAAAAGAACAGAATAACAGAGTTGAAAGGAACCTTGGAGGTCTTCTAGTCCAACCTCATGCTCAAGCAGGAAGCCCTATATCATTTCAGATAAATGGTTGTCCAATCTTGTCTTAAAAGCCTCTAGTATTGAAGCACCCACAACTTGTGGAGTCAAGTTGTTCTACTGATTAATTATTCTAACTGTCAGGAAATTTCTCCTTAGTTCTAGGTTGGTTCTCTCCTTGATTAGTATGGATTAATTGGGAAAAGAATTGTTGGTAGATCTACTGCTTGGCAACTCTGATCGTTTTACAAAGTATGTTGTGTGGTCGT